CGTGAGAAGCCCCATCCGCCTCACTATCTTGGTGTTCACAAGCTGCACCTGGTACCTCGAGGTACATAAAAAAAACATATAAAGCTGTGTCTATGGACGAATTGCTGATTCTCCAAATCAGAACTGAATCTTCAGTTTTGGATTCGGCTGTATTGAATTGGGACACTGATCCAAATCAGCAAATTGAATCACTGTTCCCCAATCGGGCTGAAGCCATATCCAAATAGAATACTACCCACTTCGCACACCCCTATCAGAAAGTCCTATGGTATATATTCAGAAACAAATAAGATCTGGCAAGACAGTAATGTTAATCCTCAGATCATTAGTACTAGAGTTAAAAATGTAACATTTAAATGCACAGGTAAACTGAGAAGTGAAGCAAATAGTTACCTAAGTTTTCAAAGGATTTTGAATAGAGGATTTATGAAGGTTTAAGGTATTTTCTTACAATTTCCTTACTCTGTTTTCAGGCTCAACTATGAAGAGGCAGTAGGGGACACTATTGCCTTCCTTATTCTTCCAACAGATTACCATGATAAGGCTTTCAAAATAGGGCGCTTTTTTAACTTGTACTTTGTACCTATTGCTGCCGTTTTCCCCTGCCTGTAGCCAGCGGCAAGCTCACTGGGACAAATTCAATCAGCCCTCTACCAGTGCAAAGCTGATTTAAAACCTGGCTTAACTAGCTACCTGGGGATTTCCTTAGCATAGGGGAATATCTAGTTAGCGTAGGACTGGAACTGTTACCTCTACCTACTCTATAGCTATTGAGATGGCTGTAGGGATACAACATAAATAAAGCGCAATCATGCCTCTAAGATGAACATGAGGATGGTTCAAAAATTCTGAGTGAGATGACAGACTAAACACAGGAAGGAAATAAGCAGCTTTAAAACAAACACTGCCCCTGTAGCAGAAAGCCCCCTTTTCCTCTTGCCTGCATTTGCTCTTCCCTCTTTGGATATGTTTCTCTTCATCTACCTTTTCTTCCTTCCTCTTTCTTTCAGTATAAGATAAGGAATTGTGTTTTAAAGTTTGTACGTGTGTATTTTGTATCTCCCCTTGTATTTTGGTATTTGTATCTATTTGTGCGCCATGGCATTACTCTTGTAGCTTATATTTTATACTCCTCACCTTTTAACTAAATGTGTTTAGTTTCAGAAGTAAGTTATACATTGTAACAATGTTAACAAGGGCAGGAATCAAACTGCCGCTTCCCTGTATCAGGCGGGCCCCTGAAAGAGCGAGTGAATCAGTGATTGAATGGGTAACACGGTAGCAGGCAGCAACTGACATCTAGGAAAACCGCAGATGAACCAACAGAAGAAATCAATAGGAGACAATGTAGCAACCAGGAATTCTCTAAACTTCACTGTTCAAGGGCGAGAAGCCCTGGTCTGAGTTAATCAATACCGGGGACCAACTTTTGGGCTGAATATCTCCAGATCGACCGCTCCCAGAGCCCTATTCAAAATTCATCAACGGACTCCCAAACCTGCACGTACATGCGGACGACCCCTGGGGCTGACAGATGCCATTCAGTAGCCACCGAGGGGGAAGGCCCACGAGGGTCAACGAACCTTGGATTGGGCAAACCTGAAAACTGGGGAGTCACCAAAGTCTGCCAAGGACAGATAAAAAGCAGTGAAAAGTGACCCTCAGCAGCACCCTCTTGGTCTCCAACTTGACCAGCACCCGACCTGTCCAGCCAGAAGGACCGGCCGGCGACCCCCTTCTGGACGATAACACCATGCTGAAAGAAGCCTCGACTGGCCATCGATGGCAGACTCCAGCACCTGTGGGACAGGTATACCTGACTCTTGTAGCTCGCTACTGTGTGTGTGCATGTGTGTGTGGGGGGACCAGCCCCAAGGTTTATGATTTAACTTCATTACAGTGTTTCAATCCGCCTAATAAACCAGAATTTTAAGCATCCCGAGTTGGACATTTGTAGCCAACACCCCCACCTTCTGAAATATGTCATCTCTGAGTATTTTTAAATTGACAACATATTTTTTGTTCAGCCAATAGGTCATATCAAAGGTAACTTATTAGGCACTTTCCTTTTCTGTGTCATTGTGACAAGTTATTTAGCAGAGTTTGCAGATTTGTTGGAATCTGACAGGCCGTGCCATGAGTGCTTCTGCTATAGCCTCAAACTTGTGACCTCTGTGCTGTCAACTGTGCACCTTGGTGCCTGCACCACCCCAGCCCCCTATTAGTAGGGATCTACCTAAATCACGGTGGAAGTGTGCTGTGCATCAGCTCCTTTAAAAGATTAAAGGGGACCTTTTTACCGTGTTCCCTGTCACTGCTGATTGGTCGAGGGAACCTGGCAACCCCGCTCATGACCCTGGCAGCTCCACTCACTGCTTGTTCCTGATCAGCCACGAGGCAAAAACCAGAGTTTTAAATATGCTGCGGTTTTATCAACAGCAAACAGCGGGGCCACCAGGGCCTCTTGGCCAATCAGCAGTGGGAAGGGGAGTACGGAGAAATGAGCAAAATTAAGAGGAGCTGCTACACAACACACTGCCGGAGCAACTTAGGTTAATCCCTACCTATTAGACACTATCATTGTCGGATTTGATGCATGTTTTTTGGCATTAGACAGTATGCCGGGTGGGTGAGGGGGCATGTTCTCAAGTACCCCCCCCCCCCCCACCAACGCCTACGGGAGGGGGAGTTTTCAAGACCCCCCCCCCCCCTCCACCATGGCATGCATCAGGGAGGCTGTTTGGAGGAAGAGAGATGCATCTACACCTGCAATTAGTGCGCATGAATAAACTATGGCGCAGTTCACCCCAGAATCAGCTGCTCCCAAGCACAGAATCTTCATGTGCACCTGGGACTGCAGCAGTTAGAGCTGCGGTGGAGCAGCCCCGGGCTGGCAGGGGCCTTGAGGGGTCAGCCCCAGGCTCTGGGTGGGCACTGGAAGGGCTGGCTGGGCCACAGGGTGCTAAAGTGAGAGAGTAGGTGGCAGGTAGCTTCTCCACCATCGTGCCCCAGGCAGCCCCAGTCACATTCTGTTTCGGCAGAGTTAATTATTCCACCGTAAGACAGTATTGTCCCCAACACTACTATCTTACAGTGGCGTTAATTAATCTACTGCACCCTAATACTGGCACTCATGTAGACAGCGAGGTTTTACTGCAGAGCTAATTAGTCAGCTTCACAATAAAGCACACATGTAGGTGAACCTTGAGAGTATTCCCTGTAGCCACTCACCAACACGCTGGTGACAAAGGTCATGAGGGTGACTGTGAGGAGGTCCTCCAGAGAGTGGATTCACTGCTGCATTACTGGGTTAGAGCAGGGATGACTGTGCAGAGTGTGCTCAACAGTGTCCCACCACAGAAGCACCAGTGCAGACACATCCAAAAGGTTGTTTAGTTTGCCATAGCGTATGTTAGGACAGACTGGATTTATGTTATACAGTTTTTGGGGGTTTTTTGTTTTGTTTTTTTAAATCTCCTGTAAGTTATTTATGAGTCAAGTCAGGAGCACAAATCCTACTGAGTGCTTTATACCATATGTTTTACACGAATAGCTCACTCATGGTTCTCCCTGGCTGCGCTAATAACCAAATTCTAGCCCAAAATAAACATACGATATTCTTGATGTTCATTATCCAATGCTTTGTTTTGAACAAAGCAGCTGTGCTGTTCACTAATGGAACCATGTTGACCTAGTCACTGAAAAAAATATTAAGGCATAAAATTTAGTTCAAAATAAATAAAGCCACAGAACAGCGTTCCCCTACAGAAGATGACACACACACCTTTGCTGAGAAGAAAAGCAGAGGGCCTTTCCTGTAGCCTGCATCATTTTTCCTGCTCTGGTTTTATCCTGAGAACCCTGTGATCTAAGAAATTTCCCCAATTCATTTTCTTCCTGAGACAAAACTAATAAAAAAAATAAAGCAGAAAGCAAACATGTGCAATTTAACAGGCTATAACAGTTTTAAAATGGCATAATATAAAAATAGGGTAAGTCACTTCAAGCCACACAGTACAGAATAATTTTTTCTAATTAACCTTCATACAGTTCCTGCATTTATGAAACAGAAGATCAGATTCAGCTGAGCACATCTGTCAATGAGTTTGGTGTAGTGTAACAAGAATCTCAAAATTACCTTGATGCTGAAAGGCAACAGGAGAATGCACTATTTCTTGCTTAAATGCAAGTATTAGCCCGGCGAGATCATATGAAGCAACCTATTGTGGCCTGACTAAGGTATTATTTCCCTTGATTGTTTTATTCCCCGCTTTTTTTTTTTCAAGCTCTGAGAGTCAGATCCTCAACTGACATAAAATTCAAATGGCTCCTTTAAAGTCAATACTAATTTATACCAGCTAAGGGTCTGTCTGTTATATCCCCTCCCTACCTCTCTTCTGTTTTGTCTTTTTAATATTCTACTACAAAACTTAACTTTTAGTTTGGAATTTAATTATTCAGGCTAAATGTAATTATTCAAAATTATTTTGTGGAACTGTCTGATCGTTTCATAATTCTTCTGATATTTCAAAAGCTGCATAAAAGTCTCACCCTTTGAATTTTCTCTGTGTGTATGGGGACAGGGTGGGGGGAAGGGGAGTTATTTTATATGTTGGATGTGTCTAGTGTTGATATAGGTAAACATATTGCTGCATTATCAAGACATTGAACTATGACAGAATACTTCAACATGGCCTCTTTCTCTCCTCTTCCAGACCACCTGTCCCTATCCTGCTCCTCACAAATCAGAATTCTCCATACTTGGTACCTGACTGCCTTCCACACCTACTCCTAGCTCTCTACATACTATACAAGATTACATATTACCAAAATCAAATGACATATGAAAGGAGAGAAATAACATTTTTATTTTAACTATAATGTTATAAAATAAGTTCTCTCTCTAATGCACAACAGGGCTGAGTGTCAATCAAATCTGATTTATGCCTACAATACCCCTAGGAGAGCTTACATTTGCCATGTGTTATCTACAAGTACCATGTATTGGCACAGGTCAGCTGACCATACTTTAAAATTATTGTGGGGTACTTCTGATCCACAAAAATTGCTGTTCAATGAGCAACTTTCTGTGGCTAATCCACCATTTTTATCCAGGAATAAGCTGGATAAAACTTATTCTTAAAATCAGACAGACTAATTAAACTTAAAGTTTAATTCTTATCAGATCATATATTATGATCTGTTTTGTGATACAAGCATATAACATGCAACAAATGTAGTGTTTGCCAGAGGCCTAATACTTCTACCATGTTGCTCATACATCCTCTTCATATGAAGGAAACCAAGGAAAGTTACTCTGAAATGCTACTGTTTTGATACCTTGAAGTACTGTGGAGTCTCATTTTATCTCCGTATGTTGGAACATCACCTTGATTAAGAATAGGCAATCAAAAAAACCAAGCCTGAATGGATTCAATCTTCGTAGGTCAGTCTAAGCTGCGCAGATTTAACTGATAATCAAGTGAACAGACATTCGTTTTTGATTCCAGAACTGCAGCCACATGGCTGCAGTGGCCCATGCCAGAAGCCCAGGGGTGCTACTGCACACCTCCCTGCTTGTCTAGAACTAACAGCTTGGGCCAAGGCTAGTCCACCCACCCTGCAATGGGGAATGAGGGGGGTTCCAGGGGAGGTACAAAGAATCCTGGGATGCTGGGTGACCATGAGTTAACTTGACTCTGGGAGGAATCTGGGACAGAAGTTTAATAAACTGATTTAACCTAAATCAGTTAAGGTCTGATACTACATCCATCCAGGTTTATCTTAAATCAGTTTCAGTCATTTTGAAAGTAGCTTATGTGCACTGAACTTCTGTTGTGTTAGATCTGTGGTTTCCAATCACTTATACTGTTTTTTGTGTAATTTCTGTCCCTAGCCTTTAAGTTCTTTCCTTTAGACAAAACGGAAGAAGGGAAAGACTCGGCAAGTACCTGTAACACTGCACCAAATAAAACTGACCACGACAGTTATTGTGATTATCTCCCACTCTAGTTCCTTTTTATTTCATTTTTTTACCCTGAATGTAGGCAAGCCAAAAAGTAAACAGACTCAAGATTCCAACTCTTAAATATTGTACCACATAGTGGTGGAGTTTGGCCATATTAGTTCATTTAAAAATGTCCTTACAATGGAAGACTAGCTTCAATTTTAATATGATAAGAATAGCATTCCCCTCATTAGTTAGTTCCATACTGCAGACTCACCTCCCAGCTTAACTGCTACCATTAATTATACTTACAGCAGATCCTTTTTTGATATAGCTCAATTGCTTTAAGCAGCTCCATACACGTTCTCTGAATTGAGTGGAACAACTGAAATTTTAAAAAAACACAACACAAAAGTTAGAAAATATGTGCAAGAAACACTAAAAAGTAAGAAAAAAAGTCTCTAAAAGTGTTTGTTCTAGGGAAGTGTCCTTACTGCTAAGCTACTGGGTAAAAGACCTTCCCCTTATCCATTAGTCATGGTTTTATGGCAACTCACGGTTCAGGACTTGCCCAGCATTATGCATGTGCCTGGGTAATTCTATTCCCCCTATTGGCAAACAGCCTCATGGCCCCACTCCAGCTTACCGGGTATGCTTAGAAGGGGAGCACAAAGGGAGTGTAGCTGCACTGAATCCCAGACTGGGACTAAGCGCCAAATAACTTGAGTTAAGGGTACAGCATATACAAATCGCCCTAACTGAGCTTAGGACAACCTTAATGGCTGAGCATGCAAGCATCCACAGGGTTTAGGTTACCTTAAAAATGGTGCACTTGATCTAAAATTAATTCTAAAGTTAGACAAGAATTAACTTTAGATTGGCATGGGGTTAACCTGACCTAGTGACACTTGCACATGCTCACAGCACAGCCCTGGTGCTGGGAAAGCCCAGTCAATCTCCACAGCCCCAGAATGGTACTGTTTTTACACTCCTCTCTGCCCCACCCTGCTCCAGACCCTGCCTGGGCTATCCCCACCCCCAGTGGTCCGTCTCCAAACTGAGCAGACCCACCAACCCCCTCCCCTAACTTACTTGCCTCCAGCTTCCTGCACCTCCTCCCAGCAAGCAGCAAACACCTACATATGATGATCTTGCTCAGGTTTAGGCAGCTTAAACTAAGCCGCCTAAACCTGAGCCAGGTCCTGCAAACACTTGATCACACCCAAGGTGTCAATGTATGTGCCACTTTGGCATGTGAAGGTGAAATAGGTGATCATTATCCAAGATATATCTTAATGCTTGAAAATAAAGAATCTCTAGGGCAAGGAATTTTTGGCTGATATCTTTTATTGGACCAACTGCATGGTTTAGATAAAGTTAGATAAGCTTTAAAATCCCAACTGTGTACTTAATCCAATAAAAGATATTATTCAAAAAATGTCTTGCCCCTCTCAGTTCCTGGACAACATCACTCCAACACTACCATAATGTAGTCTCTGTGCAGTTCTGCAAAATTATATATCAAAACAATAATTACCATATCCCAACACCATCTTTACTAAAGTGTTTCAATATGAAATTACAAACCTGCAAAATGGATGTTTAGGTGCAAATTTATTGGCTTTATTTAAACCCCCTCTTGGCATATCTCTTTGCAAGACTTAAATCAAAGCAAGGTTGTCAATTACAATAAACTGAAAGTGACCAGGTTGGTTTCTGTTCTGAAATAAACCCTTCTCAAAAAAAGAACTTTCTTAATTATTATTTATATTATGACAGCATCTCCAGTGCCCACATTAGACTCAGTCTTCATTATGCTAGATGCTATACAAAGCAGGTAGTAAGGGTATGTACAAAGGTTTCATTTAGATCAACCTAACGAGGGTTATACAAATGTTCAGGATGGTTAGATCAGTCAAAAAATGGCTAGCTCAATCACAAGCTGCGTGATTGTTGACTGAGTCCTGGGAACATGTGTACATACTTGCAGCATGGTCCCAGGGCTGTGCTTTTCCTTCCCTCCCCCACACCCAATCCTGACAGGGCTAGCTTTACCCCTCCAACCCCTTCACTGACAACCCTCTCCATGGACCCACCAGTCCTACCCCATGAATTTGATAGCCACCCTGATCCTGCCCACCCCTAAACCCCACCTGGCCATTGCTTATGTTGGTCTCCCGGCACCAATGAACTTTTATACAGCTGGTGTCTGATCTACAATCCTGCCTCCTAAAGTAAGCCACATAACTGTAGATAGGATCTCAGGGTGACATAAGAGAGTATTCTTTTTTTTGTCAAAACATCAGGTGACCTACTAAACATTTATTCATCATTGAAACAGCGAGCACAAATTGCAGTTTTGAACTTATCCAAGTGAAAAAGTGCTTGTCCTTTTTTGCTTTGGCAAACCGACATTTCTTTGTTTCTAATCACACTGCAGCTAACAATGCTTTTTTATTGATGATACTGCAACACAATCAATGTGGCAGTAACTCAAAAGACAAACTCAAAGTATTGTTTTCTGTGTGCATTCCTCAGAATGGGTTTTGCATCACCACCCTGCTGGCTCATAACCCAGCATAAACAGTCACCACAAAAGCAATACAGACAGGGTAAAATGCTCAGTGCACATGAATGAAATTACTGTTCAGAAAGATATGCATATACTTAATGACTACCAGAAGCAAAGTCCCCTCCTCCCCTGGAATTAATCATATTGACCTCAGCTGAAAATTGTGGCAAGCTAAGTCTAGAAGTCAACAATTTGCCATTCATATTTCCTTCTCCAAGATATGATAAAGAAATCATAAAATAAATATATTTAATTATTTAAAAAGTAACAGATTCAATACCTGTAAAACAGTTTCTATTGTGATAAAAGTGCTGGACATACTGCCTAATTTATTTGTTTTTAGAAGCCCTCTTCCTTTCCCTCCCTCTGTACAAAAGCCTGAAGTAGAAATGCATACTTTAAATTTTGTACAAGAGGCTTTCTGGAATACATAAGACTGTGTTACTTTAGAATTTTAAAAATATGTATATTATATTCATGTGTTTACAATATCTGTATAATATGGATTGTGATTTTATAAGAGTAAGCAGATTTCTTTTTTCTTTTAAAGTTACTTCACAAATTAATCTGCCATTTTTGTGTCAAGCTGCACTCTGGCTTGGTAGCAGAGATGTTATTAGAGATTTCAGGCTCAAAAAGAATATTTCCTGTATTAGAAAATGTCAGGTAATACCTTATATTCATATATCAATTTTCAACCTGAAATGAAAAGACTATTAAATTAGAATCACTTTATCTATAGTATTCTGTGCCAACAGCACTATATAGTAGTTCACTGAACAAAACCCAAAATACAGGGGGAACGTACATAGGTATAAAATAATTTTCTAAGACATAACCTTAGTGCCCAGGTGCAGTTATTACTATCAGGGTGAACTCTGGGTCCCCCCTGAAGCCAATGTGAAAGTTGCCAGGACACTAAGATTTCACCTCCAAGAGCAATAAAAAACGTAAGCTTAATAATTTCACTACAGTACTTAGAAACTAACAAAATCACAATTTTTACATGATTGCAGAAAACTGGTTCATTCCCTTCACTAATTTTTCCACCTTTGTACTCTATTTCTAATTCACTAATGTTTTGGCTTGCTGAGAACTTTATGATCGGGAGGCAAAATACCAACAAGTTTGTTAATTTAATTTTTTAAATAATTTGCTACAGGGAACAGCCAACAATCTAGCTACACCCGCTCATCTGTCCCACTGCAAAATATTACAAATACAAATAAAACATATGGTGCATGCACATATGTCATTATAATACAGACACTTGATTAGTCTATCTGATTTGTAAAAATATTTCAATTGCTAATATTTATTGAAAATTCATTACAAACCTCTAGTTTTGCATCCAGGTCTGCATCTGAGGCCACAACATGTTCATCTTCCTTCTTTCCAGTGACTTTAATAAGAGTTTGTTTTGTTTTCCAATATTTTTGCTGCATTTTATTGACCACAGATTTTTCCTGGCTTTGAGCATATCTGTCATAAAATTCCCTGGAATAACTGCTGAAAACATTTTAAAAGTAAATCTTGTTTAATGAAGCATTGTATTAAACTTCAAATGGGATATTTATAGCATTTAAATGAAAATAAAAGGAAAAAAGAAGACAAGGAATTTACATTCTTAGTAAGTGCCCAGTATTTGCACAAATAGTTTCTTATATAACATAGCAGGATAATATATATATAAATTACGAATACTTGTGGTAATGAAATAGCATAGGTAGTTTTGAATTAAAACCTTAGAATTCAATTTAATCTGCAATCTGGAAATTCTGAACTTCAATGCTACTACCATCTACCAAATCTATGTTTCTCCACTGCCTGAGTTTGATCAGTATTAACATGATTATTTATCTTCATAAGTGTTTCCAGTCTTATTTTTGGAACTCTCTATAATGCTCCTGTTTGATTATGGTTCATGTGCAATGCTGCCAGTAATTGATATTTCATTTTTAGAAATTCTTCCATTTTGATTGGATACTTAGTGGAAGTTCTGCCATTGAAATTCTGACCCAATGGAGGTCATTCTCAATGATCACCTTTATATAAGCAAGTTTCCCTTGCCATTGTCCCTGTCTGCAACTGAATGTGTAGAATAAGCAAAACCACACCAAACTACTCTATATGCATAAGACATTCTGATACCTCAGCATAGATAGTATAAAGAAAAGTAGTGTGAGAACTAGACAATGATAGATTGCAAATATTTTCTAATGAGAGGGACAATTCTCTACCTCTCTTATAAAACTATTAAAAGTGTAGCCAGAACAGAAAGTGCATCCTCCTACATTTACAGTTTAAGTGGCATAAAAAATTAGCTTCTTAATAGGATACTGACATGTTTTAGGAATGATTGGAGAAAATAAATTCTTGAAAATATACCATCTTGAACCTGAAAAGATCTAAAAAAGCTGCATTAATTGTGCAAATCATGCAAAGCAAAAGATTTAATATTAGTAAGGACCTACTGAATTGATGGTGGAAGTGGGGTGTACTGTGGCTCCTTTAATCTTGCAGGTTCCCTGGCCCCCTTCCCCCGCTGATTAGTGGAGGGAACCCACTTGCGACTCACTTCTGATCAACAGGGAGGCAAAAACTGTGGTTTTAAATATGGCATCATTATTCTGCCACTGATTGGCTGAGGGGCTCCGGACAGCCCTGCTGTTTGCTGCTGACTGGCGAGGAGGCAAAAATGGTGCCATGTTTAAAACTGCAGTTTTAGCTTCCCTGCTGATCAGGAGGGAGAGCAGGGTCCTCCGATAATCAGCAGCAAGGTGAGGGGTGGGGGCAAGGGATGAGGTGCACACAGGGGAACATGCAAGATTAAAGGAGCCGTTACGCACTCTACTTCCACTGTGAATTCGGTAGGTCCCTAAATATTAGCAAATCTGACAAATTATTCTAAAAGGATTTAAAGAAAGTATAAACTTGTATAAGTGTAATACTGGGTAAAATATATAATTGCTCAGCTGTCTCACTACATGTTTAATAGCTATAGAGAAGCGTAACTCCATTAGGAAACATAAGTGTTCAGTGATACAGTGTTTGATATAATTATTTTTGTTGTTATTGTTAAGTAGGGGAAAGTGATTTAAAACAATGAGACCATCATGGTATGTTAACTGGGAGTCAGTAACCTGATAAATAGTAGTGTAATGGGCTGGAGGAGAAGAAAGGCAAAAAGGGTAATGGAGCAGCAGCCCTGGACATTGGTTTGGTGGTGTGGATGGAAGCACAAAATAGCCACCACCTCAACAGCTGCATGCAGCACCCTAGAAGCGCTGGTCCAGGATCCCCCACAGCATGCTGGATGCCTGTGGCACTCTCTCTGGCCAGTCTGGGATGCAAACTGCACAGGGCACATTCTCCAGCCAGTCTTGGGAGGGTGCAGTGCTGGTCTTCGAGTGATTCATAGATGTTAGGGTCAGAAGGGACCTCAGTAGGTCAGTATGCCCCCACCCCTTTTGTCCACTCCATCCCTCCTGTAAAGGGTATAGCCATCTATACCTGTGGCCCAGTCACGGGTGGAGTCCCTCCAGGTCTCTGTTATCCCTATGACATCATAGTTATTTGCGTTTAGCAGGAGGACAAGTTACTCCTGTTTATTCCCCAAGCTCTGGACATTTGTGTATAGGCACGCAAGTCCACTTGGGGGCCCTTGCCTTGCCTACCATTTGTTCCAGGGCTGGGGCAGGGGTGGGATCCCTTAAATGCCTTGGTGTGCTGGCTTTGCAAGGGTTGCTCAGTGGGCCAGCAGTGGCAGTAGTCCCCACGTTCCCCGGCAGGCTTAGTTTAAAGCCCAGTGGAGCAGGTCAGCCAGTCTGGCTGAGAAGAGCCTCCTCCCCAGCAGAGAGAGGTGGAAGCCATCTCTTCCCAGCAGCTCACTGCCTTTCTCACCAAAGAGTGGACTGTGGTCATGGAAGCCAAAGCCTTCCCGATGACACCAGCGCCGCAGTCTTTGGTTGACTACCTGGATCCTCCTCTCCCTCCTCAGCCCACAGCCCAAGACTGGAAGGATTGAAGAAAACACCACCTGCGCCCCCTCTCATTAGAAAATATTTGTAGTCTATCATTATCTAGTTCTCACCACCTGCGCCCCTTAAGCCCTACTCCCAAATCCCTGTATCATCTCAAGACCCGGCTGGGAGCACTCTGAGCTGTGTTATTGGTGCCCACATGAATGAGGAGCATAGGGTAGTAGTCAGTGGGCTGGAGGAGCTTAGGGATCTTCTCCGCAATGTCTCAGATTCTGGCTCCCGGGAAGCAGCAAACTTCCCGGTCTAAGGGGTCGGGGCACTCAGGATGGAGTCTCCCACAACAAATACTTTGCGTTTTGTCTTGGGGAGAGCGTGGGCAGTAGCTACAGTAGCGCCTATGTTGCCTGTGGGAGCTGGCAATTCAGCAGGCTCTGCTGGGGCTGCAAGAGGTTCGTACCTGTTGCAAAGCTCCAGTGGGGCAGGGGGCTTGGTGCGGCGGGCTCTGGGGCCCTTGACCACCGTGGCCCAACCCCTGGGCCCAATCTGCCCTGCAGGGCTGGCTTCACACTGTTCACCTTGCTCGTAAACCAGTCATGCAGGGCCAAATGAGTTTGACACCCCTGCTATAAAGTAAGTTTTTGTCTGCCAAATCCCTTTGCCAGACAGTTTTAAAACATTTCTCTGAATAAGTCATATTTTAGTTTTAATAACATTTCAATATATTTTATAACAAGTCAAAATAAAAATAATCTTAAGTCACTTTAAGGAAAAATATTAAAACCTCACATACACCCTCAAAAAAAAATTATTAACAAAAGCTAAACTAGAAGTGAAAATTTGTAGTTCACACTTCAGGATTTTTTTTAAAGCCTCAATCTTTCATTGTGATTTGCACAGGCAGCCTGCTATGCCCATGTGGACCTCCAGTGAAGTCATGGGACAGCAAGCACATGGGGCACAGTGTAGGCCTGAGACATCCAGGGTTGTTTATCTCAAGTATAGTCACGTTGTCACTAGAACTATGCAGTTAATTGATTTTTCAGGTCAGTAGCCAAACAAAAGCATTGGGGGTAGAGATTTATTTGGGTAACCCAGTCCTAATTTCTACTTCCTTGGGAGTCAGTGCAAGTATAATCAGGCTGGAAATGTAACATGACAGGAAAGGAGTTTGGTCAACAACTCTAATAACAAAATAAAAGACCTTTTAGACAAATTAATAAGCACATATTGGAGAAATCTGAAGGATGAAACCTGTACGTATTTCCAAATGATAATTTAGTAAAATTTACATTTAAATTAAAGTCTGGAAAAAATAGACTCCACTTTATGCTTGAAATGATCATCATTTTAAAGACAGATTTTATGTAAGAAAGTGTTTCCTTCAAATATTCAGTAGACAGAATTGGAAAATTTTTGTTTTTAGTGTAGGGCTCTACTCAATATTTTAATCATAAATATGTCTTAATACTGCAGGAATTTAACAAACCTCAACAAAACAAAAAAGTGGACAACTTTTTCTAAATACAGAACAATGTATTGATTTATTTGTTATGAAGCAGGAAAGAGAGAACATGATTGTTCTTCCTTGTAGAAGGCAGGGTAGATTTGCACCTTATGGCTAGATCCAGACATGCAGGCAGGTGTGGTTTGTGGTACTGCAAACCTCTTCACAGTGCCACAAACTACATGAGTTGTACCTTAATCAGTGTGCAGCACTGCTAATTTGCAGTGCCAGGGCAAAAAAAATAAACCTGGAAAAAAAGCGATGCAACCCATGCCAAAGTAGAGGGTGCCGGGACAAATGCTGCCTGCTCCTGCACTTCTTCCCGCTGTGGAGCCCCTGTGCTGAGGCACTCCCTGGCTGGCTGGGGCGCAGTGTGCCTGGGAGGAGCAAGCTGTCTTGGGCTGGCTGATCCCGTCTCCTTGTGCCTCAGCACAGGGTCTCCACTGTGGAGCCCCTGTGCTGAGGCACATGGAGCCCCTGCACTGAGGCACACTGAGCCCCAGTCAACCATGAAGCAGCTGGCTAGGGTACAGTTTACCTTGAATCAGGGCAGCAGCCAGGCCATGGCTGCCTGCTCCCTATCTCCATGTGCCATTCCCTGGCTGGCCAGGGACCAGGGTGCCTCGGCTCAGGGGATGGCTAGCTCCTGCTGAGGCCAAGCCAGCCCCTCCATACAGCACGAGGAAGAGCAGGACAATGCGTCTCACTGCAAAGCACACAAGCAGGGATGTTCACTGCTGCACAAAGTAGTGGCATAAATTTGTGCCACTACTATTTGTGTTGCTGAGTAGGCAAGCCCCTGCTTGTGTGGATGCCACGTGGCCTATAAGGCTAGTCATTTGCACCTGGTGATCTTTTTTATTGAAAAAAAATATTCTAAGCAGATACCTCACCTCAGTGTCTCTGATTTTCTATCTAAACAGAAACCATGCTGAGAGGTTCTGAATTTCTGCTATTGCAAGAGAAGAAATCCCTAAAAACAGGTTTTTATCTTATAAAAACTAATAAGTGTATTAAGTTTCTGAATTTCTGCTACTGCTTGATCAGAATTACAGAATGAAACTATTTCTTCCTAATTTAGCCCTCAATCCTGGCAGAGTCCAACTGAAATCAGTGGGGCTCCACGAGTGGACAAAGGTCCACCCATGAGGAACCTGCTAGTTCAGTCTTATAACATGAAAACCCTTCTGTCTGACTTCAGGCCAACAGGGTTCTTCCCTGTAGTTGATTAATTTGTTTTTACATTACTTGAATATCACCTAATAGTACTTCAGTTTGACAGTCTGTATTCAGTGGTAAAATTAATATATTTTCTCACATACTGTGTAGCATACCCCCTAGTATAACACTCACCCTATTTTTGGAAGGCCCCAAGAAGAATAAGAGACCTTACCTTGAAGTATGGGTAAGTGCATGAGGTCTGGGGTCTCCAAGGCTGGAGGGCACGCAGCAGTGTCCAATCTGCTCATGCCAATACTGGGGCTGTGCAAAGGGTCTGACCCTGCACACTGGCTCTGGAACCGCATGCCAGATCCAAACTGGTACACAGTCCTGGAGCCAGAATACAATCCAACCTGGTACATGACTACAAAGCTGACACTCAGGGTCCAGCCATGGGATAACTCTGTGCACTAGCTCAATCCAGCATGTGGTTGGGGAGGGTGGTTCCCCACAGCTCCAGAAATTTGGTAGGGGGTTGGGGGGGAGCTGTGGCAATCAGTGCTGCTCTGGAACCCATGGGGTAGCCTTACTCTGCATATAATGCACACCCCCGATTTTCCTCAGGTGGTTTGGAGGGAAAAAGGTAGGGGTTATATGTGAGAAAATATGGTGTGTCAATGATTGCGTGCCAAAATATAAGCATCATTGATACAAGACTATATCATCACATGACTTTTAATGGTATTACTTTAGAGATTTAAAATTATTTAAAAAAATACTTACTACCTATGGCCATCCATGTTTCCTTATCTTCTTCAGACACTTAAAATGAAATAAAAACATAATCAGTTAAACTATTATTATAAACTTCTGAAATACATTGTCTTTAAGCAACTATTATCATAAACAAAATGATTACATTACAGTATTTCATTTTTTGTTCTACATTCTCCCTGAAGACTTTTCAAACTATGAATTAATGTTGTCCACATACACACGTAATTCTGATTGAAGGCAGTGGAGATAAAGGTGCATATTACTGGTGGGGCTTGTTAAAGTCACTAAATATTATGGTTGCCCAACACTTCCCATTACAAGACCACGTTTTCAGTTATAACTTTGACAGACTGACCATTCAGACTGAAATTTCCCAAGCAGATGCCTATCTCAGGCTGATTTTTCCTGGGAAATTCTACCCTACAAAGGAGGCTAGGGTATTTTCTCCATGGTAAGACATGCATGCAACCTATTATTTGAAAACTTCCTGAAACCCCAGGTTTTGAAATAGGGATCTGAACTTTGGCAGGCATGTCCCTTTGTTTCAGGGATGTACAGTGAGTATCCCTTCTGAAAATCTGCCAGAATTTGGCTTATGGGACGCACCCAGAGAGTGGTGGTGGTTGGGTTGGTTTCTACCTGGAGAAATGTGGGTAGTGGAGTTCCCCAAGGCTCTGTCCTGGGACTGGTACTGTTCAATATCTTCATTAGTGACTTGGGTGAGGGTGTAGAAAAAACTGTCCAAGTTTGCAGATGACACCGAACTATGGAGTGAGGTAAACAAACTAGAGCGCAGGGAGCAAACACAGGTGGATTCAGATAGGCTGGAGAAGTGGGTGGAACAGAATAGGATGCAGTATAACAAAGGTAAGTGCCATGTGTTGCACCTAGGGACAAAAAATCATCAACACACCTATAGCCTAGGAGGTACCATTCTAAGTAGCACAACTGCAGAAAGGGATCTCGGAGTTGTAATCGACTCCAAAATTAACATGAGTCATCAATGTGATGAAATAATACGTAAAGCTAACTGCACTCTTTCTTGCATAAGTAGGTGCATCACAAACAGGTCTAAGGAGGTCATACTTCCCCTCTATGTGGCGTTGGTCAGGACGCAGCTGGAGTACTGCATCCAGTTTTGGGTGCTGCATTTCAAGAGGGATGTAGATAACCTGGAAAGGGTTCAGAGGAGGGCCACCTGCCTGGTTAAAGGCCTACAAGAAAAACCCTACGAGGACTGATTGAGGGACCTGAATCTCTTCAGCCTCCATAAGAGATGGCTGAGAGGTGATTTTGTGGCTGTCTACAAGCTCATTGGGCGGGGGGGAGGGGGGGACAGCAGGAAATAGGGGATATGATGTTTACCAGGCACCCATTGGGGTAACTAGAAGCAATGGCCACAAACTGAAGGAGAACAAATTTAGATCAGGAAAGAAATCTTTACAGTGAGGGTTGCCAAAATACGGAATACACTTCCAAGGGAGGTGGTGCTGTCCCCTTCCTTGGAGGTATTTAAGAGGAGATTGGAGAAACACCTGACTGGGGTCATCTGACCCCAGCACTCTTTTACTCTTTCCTGCCCAGGGCAGGGCATCGGATTTGATGATCTAATAGGTCCCCTCCGACCCTAAACTCTATGAAATCTATGAAAATGTGCCAGAATTTGGCCAGGTTAAAAACTTTTGGAGGAAAGATGACATTTACAATTCACACACGCTTCACAGGGACATCTTAAGTTTTTAGCAATTGGAATCTCTGAACTTTCCACCCTCACTGGTCATGCCCACTTCTCATTCAGCTCTTAGTGCTGACCATATACTATCCCCACAGAGCACTGAATATGCTCCTTTCAGCTCAGGTTACAACGACAAGCCAGATTTTCCCTATAATGGATGTTCCTGGCTGAGCTGGACTAAGGCCAGGTACTGGAACTTAAAGCAGTCAGCTTCTCTCCTTTGCTCTCAGCAAGCCTTCTCTCTGGAAGGCTGGAACACAGAAGGAAGCTATCTGACTCAAATGCAGAGGGGGAAAAGCTAGCATGATGAAGGTGGGAAGAAAGCACGGATTGGATAAATCTGTTAAGAATAGGACTGGAAATAGGATAATATCTGTGGCTGGGTAAAGAGACTGGAACTGGATTGGTGACACTGAATGAGCAAGGCGCCAGAATGGCAGCTCCCCAGGGGGTCCCTACCCTACACTGCTGCAGCTGCCATTTTTACTACTGCTGAATCCATCATTGTCTGTTGCCAATGGTGACAGAAATCAGTGGCACTTGCAACAAGAGTAAGCAGCAGCTGCAGTACAGGGAGTGCAAGAGTACCCACCAGGTTTGTGAAGTGCTAGCCCAGGGACTAGGGGCAAAAATTACACATAAACTGGTAAAAGCAATCGGAAACCAGTTCAAATCTGTAACGCAACAGAAATTCAGCGCACATAAACCTCTTTGAAAATGGCTGAAACTGGTTTAAGATAAACCTCGATGGATGTTGTATCAGACTTAACTGATTTAGGTGAAATCAGTGCAGTCTCAGGGCTGATCTGATGGCCACCTACAAGTTTATCAGGGGTGACCACCAGCATCTGGGGGAACGTTTGTTCACCAGAGCGCCCCAAGGGATGACGAGGTTGAATGGTCACAAACTACTTCAAGATCGTTTCAGGCTGGACATAAGGAAGAATTTCTTTACTGTCCGAGCCCCAAAGGTCTGGAACAGCCTGCCACTGGAGGTGGTTCAAGCGCCTTCATTGAACACCTTCAAGATGAAACTGGATGCTTATCTTGCTGGGATCCTATGACCCCAGCTGACTTCCTGCCCTTTGGGCGGGGGGCTGGACTCGATGATCTTTCGAGGTCCCTTCCAGCCCTGATGTCTATGAAATCTATGAAAATAGGCTTATTGAACTTCTATCCCAGATTCCCTCCAGATTCAAGTGAACTCACAGTCCCCCAGTATCCCAGGATGCTTTGTCGCTCCTGCAAACCCCACTTTGCAGGGTGGATAGGCGACCCTTGGCCCAAGCTGTCAGCTGCAGTGGAGCAGAGAGGTGTACTCTAGCACCCCCTGATTTCTGGCCTGGGTCACTGCGCATGTAGCTACTTTTCCAGAATCAAAATAAATGTCTGTTCAATTGTTTACTGGTTTAATCTATGCAACTTAGACTAACCTGAGAAGATTGAATCGATTCAGCCTTGGGCTTTTTGACTGTCTGTACTTAGCTTGGGTGACATTCAGTGGCATGTGATGGTAGAGGGACAACAACGGAAGCAACCAAGGTGCAAGCAGCAGCCCACCCTATGTCCAAGCTACGTGACTTTGGTCCACCCTTTGTAAAAGGTTGCCTGCCCCTGGTTTATAATATTGTCTGCCACACTCATATTCAGTTGATTATCTTGGGAAGCAGTGATTCTGAAAGACATTTGGGGTTAGTGATAAACAGAGTCCCAGATAGTGTACACATGACCTATTTTCTTTATTTCTGTTCCAGGAGGCATGATTTCATATCTGCACATTAAAATGTGTTTTCATGGTGCCAAGCAAGCATGAAACCATGCAGGCAATATCCTTATGCCTCAGTAACCTGTCCTCTTTGTTTTTTGCTACGTCCAGAACTTGCCACCTGCAAATTTTCAGTAATGATTACATTTTTTTTCAGGTTACTGATTAAAAATGAAAGCTCAAATAATATGGGGCCAAAAACTTACCTATATAGGACCCCACTGGAAATACTTAATTATAATTCCCATTTCACAATTATATTTTGAGACCCATTTTAATCATGTTAATTTTGGATCATTCTATTTTTCTAATCAAATATCATGTGATACCAAGTCAAATGAGCTGCAGAAGTCTATGGAATCAATACTATTATTTTTATCAATCAAACCTGACATTTCTTTATGAGATTACAAGGTAGTGAGACAAGATTTGCTTTTCCATAAACCAATGTTGACAGGCATCAAGGCTATCCTCCTTCAATTTCTGATTAATTAAATCCTCTATCAGCTGTCCCAGGAATCAATGTTAGGTCAATAGGCCTATAGTTTCTCAGGCTCTCTCATTAGCTTTCCTCTAGTCTCTGGAACTTCTCAGGGAGTTACAAGATTTACTGAGGAGAGAGGGAAGGAACAAAAAAGTCAATGAAAACTATGCAGATAGCTCCTTGGCCACCACCTTTAAAACTCTCAATATATATTCCATACAAAAAACCTACGCTACTAAAACCTCTAAGGTTAAATAGTCAAACATCAAAGAAAATGAAAGATATGGCTGTATGGGGCAACCTTAAGTCCTGTCTCTTGTACATATGCATTTTCAAATAGATTTAACTATTTCTTTTTTAAAAAAAACAACAACAAATTTCCAAAAAGACAAAAGCTAAAAATAAACAACAACCCAGCCTCATGAGCAAAGTATATAATAGCTACCCCACTGAAGCTGGCATCTAGGGAAAAACTCTCATATAAAGGACTAATAAATACAGGAAATAGTCACAGGAATCAGGGGGATAATGCGAGGTTATTAGTTCAGCTTGCTTTAGGAAGCTATATGAACTAAGAGTGTGGAACTACCAGAGCCTTCCAAGAGCCAGGAGCTGAGGCTGAAAAAGACTTTGTTAAGCAGCTGGACTGAACAAGATGTTCCTGTGGGTCACCAATGAGAACCAGAGATCAAGAGAGATATTTCTTGGAGTAGGAGCTGTAAGTCTTATCTGTCTTTTTAGGGTTTTTTTTTTTGCAAAAGATCCCTGTCATCATTCAGTTTGCTCCTGCTGCTATTCAGAGAAACTGGTAAACATTTTTTAAACAAAAACTGTTCTTGGAAGGTACCCTGCCACAGTGTCTCTGATTTTTATCTAAATAAGAACCATCCTGAATAGCCCTGAATTTCTACTAGTGCTTGACCAAAATCACAGAATCATAACATTTCTTCCTAAGTTGGCCCTCAACCCTGACAAAGTCCCATTGAAATCAATGGGGTTCTACATGTGGGCAAAAGTCAACCCACAAAGAACCTGCTGATTCAGAGCCTTAGATACTTTTCTGTCACACTGCATACACATACTGATTATAGAGAGAAAGCATTTATTTGAAAAATTGGACGTAGCTAATTTTATTATTACAACTACAGTGCAGCATTGTATAGAGACTCCTTCCAGAATTCAAGATAGGTCAGGTATATCATATTAGCTTGGGCAGAACTCTACACCAAGTTCATGAATCTGTACTGTACTATGCACTGCAGAATTCAGGTACCACTTAGTCCTGTGGATCCCCAAGTAAGGAACTCAGAAAGCAGCCATTAGGTGCCCCAGAATAAAGTTTTAGCCTGCAAGATCAAAATAATTTACTCTTCTCTCTCAGACAAGTATTTATATTAAAGTCTGAGCAGACTTGGCAAAAATTCTGCAAAGGCCCACCTTTAATCAAAGTATATTAAGAATAATCACCCTGTCTTTACACAATTTCCTAGTGCAGGGTAGTAGAACCAGTGCCATCCACTTGTAGAGGTCATGTATCTCTTTAGCAGCTGTGTCCTCAGCATTCTTTCCTACAATTCCCTGAAAACATGGCTCCAGTAAAGTTGTTCTCAATTATTTTAGACTCAAGACTTCCCTCTATACTTTTCTAAACGTAGGAACACCCTATTTAAAAAAAAACAACAACTAACTTGTTCATTATAGTGTATAAGATTATATGACTGGAAACATTTTTTAACAAAATGGAAAACCCCCACATGAATAAGCACAGTATTATAATCAAAGGAGTCAGGTATGTGCTTGAATGTAAAAAATGTTAATATTTCCTCTGTCAGCCTGTAAACTGAGGACAGAACCTTGCCCCTTGATAACCATTTTGCTTCCATGTGCAAAATAAGACTGGTATGTTTCAGCTTCCATTGTCTCTCACATTCCTGAAAAGAGACAAGACTTCCATAACCTACTTTTAATATAACTGACCATTTTTACAACTTGGTCATACGCAGTTTTTAATTTCTGGGATATAGTTTTTGCAATAAGAGCTTCCCAATGAAAGGAAACAGTGGCATGTAATGACATTTGGATTCTGTTACTTCACAATTGAAACAAATCCTCAAACTGACCCAACCACAGAAGGACTGCCGTCTATGCAAAATCTACACGATTTCCAAGACAAACCCAGAAATTCAAATAGGAATCTATTATGTCAAAAACATCCTGTGCTCTTGTGGTCTTGCTGAAAAGTGAAGATGGTAGCCATTTTAAGTATCTCACTTGTATTTTTTTCAATATCCTCTGACAAGTCATGTGCACATCTCCTGAGAGCATTACTGAACAGTGGAATGTTGTCAATTTCCTTTTCAGTTTCACTTCCAAACACAGGCTAAGTACAGATGTTCAAAAAGATCCTGGCAAAAGCACTCTATCGTACTTTACTTAAAGCTCCATAAGTTAGAGTGCAAGCAAACCAAACAGACAAGGTTCTTTGGGTGAATCTGATATCTTTTATTAGACCAACTTAAGTAGTTGAAAAATGTGTGCGCTCTTCCTGGATAGAATGAAAAGTAAAGAAGCCAGAGGGTGGGCTGGTATGCATACAAGATAGGCAGTCAGTGACAATGTAGATTGAGGAGTCAACGGGTGAGAGAGAGGCTGGGTGTGGGGGAAGAAAAGGGGGATGAATAGTGGAGAGGTACCTGGGGAGTCAGATGTCAGGTAGGTTATAATGTGTCATAAATCCAATGTCTATATTTAGTCCATGATCTTTAGTATCCAGGAGGTTGATGGAATGGAGTTCATAGGCTCGTCTCTGGGAAGTGTTTTGTAAGTTTCCTTTGAGGATCAGGACTGAGAGATTGGAGACAGAGGGGTTTTCTTGTGAGAAATGTGCCCCCACAGGTACTTGGGTATTCCTGTCTTTAATAGATTTCCAGCGTACATTCATTCTGGTGCACAGTTGTTGCCTTGTCTGCCTATGTCCTTAGACCAACACGGCTACAACCTACACCCCAGCAAAGCAAACAGACATTCACTGTTTGGTGGGGGAGGAGGGCTCAGAGCCTGCCTGCACTGGTTGCTGGGGGCACTCTCGCATGCCTCCCAGGAGGCTGCCCAAATGGCCCCTCTCCCCAGCCCTGCCTCTCCCCACACCAGCTGGTGACTGTCAACACCAACTGGGAGGGGAGAAACCCTAGACTCCTTCTCCATGGCCCCCCAGCCAGGCAGGGGTTTGCCAGGCACTGGCTACAGGGACAGAAACCCCCCTTTCTCCACTCCACTCCTTTCCAACAAGGCTGTGGAGGGAGAGACCCCAGAGCCCTCTCCTCACAGCTTCCTAGGGTGGCCATCATAGAGGACAGTCTGGTTGTCCTCTGTCCTCTATTGATATGAAACCCGATGTCTTTATGTCCTCTGTTTTTCTCTTCAAGAAAAAAGCAGAGGACATAAAGACATCAGGTTTCGTATCAACAGAGAACAGAGGACAGAGTAGCAGAAAACCGGAATGTCCTCTGTGATGGCCTCTGGAGTACTGTGTCCAGTTTTGGGCTCCACAATTCAAAAAGGATGTGGAGAAGCTTGAGAGAGTCCAGAGAAGAGCCACGCGCATGATCAGAGGTCAGGGAAGCAGACCCTACGATGACAGGCTGAGAGCCCTGGGGCTCTTTAGCCTGAAAAAGCGCAGGCTCAGGGGTGATCTGATGGCCACCTACAAGTTTATCAGGGGTGACCACCAGCATCTGGGGGAACGTTTGTTCACCAGAGCGCCCCAAGGGATGACGAGGTCGAATGGTCACAAACTACTTCAAGATCGTTTCAGGCTGGACATAAGGAAGAATTTCTTTACTGTCCGAGCCCCAAAGGTCTGGAACAGCCTGCCACCGGAGGTGGTTCAAGCGCCTTCATTGAACACCTTCAAGATGAAACTGGATGCTTATCTTGCTGGGATCCTATGACCCCAGCTGACTTCCTGCCCTTTGGGTGGGGGGCTGGACTCGATGATCTTCCGAGGTCCCTTCCAGCCCTGATGTCTATGGCCACCCTGAGCTCCCCTGCTAAAACTGTGCTGCAGCAGGGGGCTGCCGGGGGTTGGGAAGGGAATGAGAACCTGGAGCCCTTCCCCCACAGCCCCCTTTGCCAAGCAGAGGCACACTGCTGCCTGGCCTGGGCTGCAGCAGGGAGAGGGACCCCAGACTCCTCTCCCCACAGCCCCTGGGCTGGACCACAGTGTGACCTGGCAAGGGCAGGTGCAGAGAAATCCCAGAGCCCCACTACAGCCTTCCCTCCACCAAGCAGCTGTGCGCTTCTGCCTGGCCTGGCCTGGGCTGCTGTGGGGAAGAGACTCTGGAGCCTTTCCAGTGCAGCACCCCTCTCCCAACTAAGCTGTGATGCGCTGCAGGTCCAGGGTGGCTACAGGGAAAAAAAAACACCC